AATGTGTATTCATGGGATTCATGGGATTTCATGGGAATTAATGGTCATATTCTATGGTCATATTCTACACATCGCGACGTAATGTCGCTTAGGATTGGGGTAATTATCCCCAAATACAGTAGATGGGGCAACACTGGCTTTGGATAAGGCTTCCCATGTCGATGGGAGCTTCCCATGCTCGACTTCTGACGTCCAGAAGCTTTGGAACGGGGAGCGAGCAAGGGGGCTACGCCCGTGAAGTTCTACTAGTTCTACTCACCAGTCACTTTTGCGAGTGGGCGAACTAAACGGAAGATTGGTGGCCGATGTTTTCTGGGAAGATTACTGTACATGTTTCAGATATTGTACTTAGATTTGCTGAAGGCGATTGATTATTTTCCGAATTCATAGACGCAGCAATTAAGGAATCTACGGGGAAAATGTGTCTGCTTCGCAGGTCCATCGCAACCATTCATTACCTAGGATCATCAACGATATTTCAGACTATTTCATGACAAGTACATGGTAATTGTAGATAATTTTAGTAAGTTCATACCGCAGATCATGCTACAATTATTACTATTACTATGTACTTATTATTCTATGTACTTATACTCGTACTTGCCAATGTTTATATACTTACTTGTTATAAACTATGGCTAGTTGGTGGTTTCAAGCATTTGTTATTTTCCATTTCATACATGGGATCATATTTTCAAGATGGTTATTGCACCACCAACCAGATGGTAATTACTGGTAAGTTACTATGATTTGTCAACGCTACGAGGCGAGGGGTCCAGCGGTCCATCCTACCTGGGACCCTGGGACGGGGCGAAGTTGTGTAGCTGATGTGGGGCATCCGGGATTGATGCACATGATAAACAAACATAACATTTAGTTAACAACGTTACCCTTTGGTAAACTGTCACATAACTATGGAGAATCACCATTTTTTGTGGGAAAATCCACTATGTCTATGGCCATTTTCAAGTTCGCAAACTGTTAAATTACCAGAGGGTAACCATGTTACCTGAGCTATAGCTAGGTTGGTTATTTTGTTGATGGCAATAGATGCAAGTGAACTGCGGGGATAAAGAGAAAACCCACTGAAATCACCGGCAGAAACTCTCCAAACTCGCCGTGTCCAAAATCGCTGCAGCACCATCGCTCGACGACCAATGCACTGTTGGCGTGGATGGATGGATTTGGCCTCTTGGTGACGAAAAGCTGGTTGGGGTCCTTGCATGGTGGGGGTATATTATATGTATGTATGTATGTATGTATGTATGTAATGTATGTAATGTATGTAATGTATGTAATGTATGTAATGTATGTAATGTATGTAATGTATGTAATGTATGTAATGTATGTAATGTATGTAATGTATGTATGTATATGTAATGTATGTATGTATGTAATGTATGTAATGTATGTAATGTATGTAATGTATGTAATGTATGTAATGTATGTAATGTATGTAATGTATGTAATGTATGTATGTAATGTATGTAATGTATGTAATGTATGTAATGTATGTAATGTATGTAATGTATGTAATGTATGTAATGTATGTAATGTATGTAATGTATGTATGTAATGTATGTAATGTATGTAATGTATGTAATGTATGTAATGTATGTAATGTATGTAATGTATGTAATGTATGTAATGTATGTAATGTATGTAATGTATGTAATGTATGTAATGTAATGTATGTAATGTATGTAATGTAATGTATGTTGTATGTAATGTATGTAATGTATGTAATGTATGTAATGTATGTAATGTATGTAATGTATGTAATGTATGTAATGTATGTAATGTATGTAATGTATGTAATGTATGTAATGTATGTAATGTATGGTAATGTATGGTAATGTATGTAATGTATGTAATGTATGTAATGTATGTAATGTATGTAATGTATGTAATGTATGTAATGTATGTAATGTATGTAATGTATGCAATGTATGTAATGTATGTATGTATGTATGTATGTATGTATGTATGTCTGTGTGTATGTATGTATGTATGTATGTATTTATGTATGTATGTATGTATGTATGTATGTATGTATACACGTGTAAGTATTTATTTAGATATGTTGATCTATGTTGCCCATATCCGTTTTCGCGGTGCATTTTCCCGTGTGGCAACTTCCATGGAGATCTCCACTAAACGACGGGAGATCATGGGAGTATGGTGCAGAAGGGCGGCCCAAAACGACCATATGCTGTGGCGGTTTCCGTTTTGTCATGGGGGTCGGGGGTACTCCCAGTTACCATCCAGTCGTCATGGATGATCACTTGAGTATTGATCCACAAGCATGGTCTCTTGGGCACCACCATGACTTATGGAAAGATCCACCATTTTATAGCTAAGTAAACCATTTATTTCTATGGGCCATGGCTTCCATGTCTATGTTAAATAACCAGATGGTTATGATGTAATGACTTGGGAAACCTTCAAGTGAGTCATTTTGAAATGATCCCCTCCTCGCCATGACTGGGTGCCGAGGCACTGGTGAGGAGCGCATCTTCTTTCTGGGTGCAACCAATCGGGCTGAGGCCCAGTAGTTGCACAGTAGTGGCACTCAATGTAAACAGGTTACCATGGTTGGATGTTATAGCCTTTGGTTGTATCATTATCTAAGTACTGGTCATCTTTTAGTAATCTCATGATCATGAGCATTGTCGTATCCATTGTCATATCATGAAAACCTCATTTCTGAAAATTGCTTAAGACACTATTGGTTCTTATCTCAGCAATGTTTTAAAAAACTTAATTGGGACTTAATGGGTTTGATTGGGATAATTAAAAAAATGCTATATATATATATATATATAGCCAACCCCCCCCGTTGCTTGGTGATAGGGGATTCCACTATCCAATATATTGGGGATTATCACAATCCGTCAGCGTGAATCCCATTCTTAACCAACCTGTGTTTCATGAAACAACGGAGGGTTTCGAGCGCTGCTTAAGCACTTGCACGTTCATCCCACTTAGTACGTGGATTATAAGCCATAAGTGGGCATGTTGGTTCTAGAAGCCATATAGATTTTAAGACATTATAAGCCACTTAGTAAGCCTTTGGTTCTATCAGTCAGTTGGTTCTACCACGGTTCTTAACCACTTATTAGCCGGGATGCCCAAGTGCACAACTAGTTCGATGTTTTTTTGCCAGAACCCATTGTTTTTGAAGTTCAAACAAACTTAGCCAACTGTGGGATGTCATGATTAAGCTGGGGATTTTACGCGGGACATTTTACAGTTTACCATATCTAGAGGTTTCCTACTGGTTGGTGTGAACAACAACCATAAGGATGCTGAGGAAAAATGCTCGCCACAATGAGGGGTGATGGGAGCCTAACATATAGGGATGTGATCATGAAACAATGAGGATTTGACCAACAAAAACCACCAGATTTTTTTCGCAGATCTTGGAGTTTGCTGCTTGGTGTTTTCAATTGTGCTGACAAGTGCTGACAAGTGCTTGGCACTTGACAAGTGCGAGTTGTCACCGCAAATCATCGTCTCCGCAGACCAAGAGCTTGAGAACCCCGCAGTGCAATTCGGTGCACACTTTGTCCACATTGTCCACATCCAAGGCGGAAATGGAAACATGGACATCTCACAAGTGCAAAACCCATAGGATCCATGGTGCTGGTATATTAATGCTAACATAAAGGGGATATATTGATGGGATCCATGTTACCATATATAACAGCACCATGGATCCTAAGGGATATATAATCCCTACAATTGCGGAAACTTCTATTGTTTCTCCAGTTTGATGATGTTGGATCTAAGGAACTCCAAGGAACCGATGAAGAATGGTGTGATTTTTAGATCCCAGTGATAAACTGGACAAATACTATAGAAACATCTAACAGTGGAACAATTATTTAATAACTATTCTATATTCTACGGTTTTTTCCTGGAAATGGGGGTTACTCCATTTCATCATCCATTTTGGTTTATGGCAGATATAACTATAGTTAATGGGGTTTATAAACCAACGTAGAACTGGGGGGCACCATCCTGCACAAGTGCTATACGCGAAAATTGTCAGACGAGTTCGGTTCCACGACGTCGCGGAGGTGCGGTTGGCTCCCAGCATCCGCGACGCGGTGGCCGCCGAATCGCCGGTCGAATAGCGATGTTTTCATCGCCTGCGTGATCTGAGCCAAACTATGTGTGTTGACATTCTGAAAGGGCGGTTAGCCGATGCCAACCATATAATCAGTTGTATCTATTTGTATCTGATATCTCCCCAAAAAAATCACCATGATATCACCAATATTCACCAATATTGCCACTAGCTCCCCACAATTTACATGTGGTCATATAGTTTACTCCCAGTAGACTATCTCGCTGTTTACAATGGCTTCGTCCAAAAGAGTTATCCAATGTATATCCCAATGACTCCCCCTTAGAATTGTCAGGAACCAATATACAAATCCCATGATATCACAAGCTAGCCCACTTTCGTAGCTCAATATCATAGTGTTGGTTATAAATATAAATATAAATATATATATATATATATTTTTATACACAATATACATATAGATATACACATATGTATATGTATCCCACTGGATTCCCAGTTCGTGGATGATGATATTCCCAAGTATATGGATAATCTTCATCCCAAAGTTGATGCTTTAACGAACATTGCTATCATATTCCCGTGCATATTTGATATATTTGATAGTTCAATAATACAAGGTGGTGCCCCAAACATAGCTAAGTTGGTTCGTAGTTGGATGAAATTGATGATTTATGGTAGACATATCCAACTGTTTAACTACCCTCTGGTTATTTGACAGTTCGCCATGGAAAGATCCACCATTTTTAATAGGTAAACCCAGGTACACCATCTATTTCTATGAGCCATTTCCCATGGCAAACTGTTAAATAACCAGAGGGTAGGTACTATAATTTGTAAACTAACTTATAACATTGGTCCATGTGCCATGTGGATAGTGATATGTTTATCCCATGTTATCTCATGCTGATAAGTTATGATAAGTCGAAATCATATGTTTTTTTTCTTGGGATATCCCATTATGATAAGTTATGAAAAATTATTAGTTACATTATCTCAGCTTTGCCCATACTGTAGATATACCAGTTTTAACTGTGGATAAACCAGAGTAACAGGATGGCCACGGTTCGGTTCAGTTCGGTTTCACGGAACCGAACCCTAAGTATGGACGGTTCGGTTCGTAAACGGTTCGGTTCCAATTCGAACCGGTTCGGTTCCACGGAACCGAACCCTAAGCGGTTCCGGTTCGTTTCCTAAACGGACTCCAGTAACTATGATTTATGGTACTTATAACTATAGCTCATGTGGTTTATAAATCAATTTATGACTAGGGGGCCCCACATTGTAGAACTATGTATAACCACGTTACTATGTTTCATGAACCAACTGGATAACATCACTGGGGAACCAAGCTAAAGTCGGTTTATAAACACCGTTAAACCATAAGATATATATCTAGAAAAGTAGTGACTAGTCGGTAACTTGTATCAATGGCCATTTCAGGATCCTAGATTGGAGGTACCTACCATATATAAGGCCTATATAAGGCTTATAAGGCCTATGTAAGGGAATATCCCCACAAAATATGGCCTTATATGGTACAGTACCTCCATTGTAGGATCCTGAAATTCCCATTGATTGTAGTGACGTGTAGTGACTAGTCCTATATTATATATCTGGGATATACATTGGATATATCTATAGTTCATAGAATAAATAGGATGTAGCTATCAATAACAACTGGGATAAATATTGGATGATGTATATTGAATATTGTAAATCTGCCATAGACAATCATAGAGTTTATGGATATTTGTAGATTCTATTGGATCATAGATATATTGTAATGTTAATTGTATGATTTACTGATTCTATAGTTATAGATATTATAAATATATAACTCTGGGACAACTATTGGGATAAACAATTTATAATTATACCCTAGTTATATATGTATATACTGGTTGGTGGTTTGGAACATGTTTTATTTTTCCATATGCTGGGAAGAAGTATCCCAACTGACTTCCATATTTTTCAGAGGGTTTGAAACCACCAACCAGATATAGTTCTAGAGCATGTCTCTACTACATCCCGATATTTTTGGTAAGTCAATAGATCGCTGCGTCCTGATGTAAGTTATATATACCCCATTTTGTTATATATATATAGGATCCTTTTGCAAGAAATCTTCGACTTGATATTTTCGTTCCGGAGGCCATCGACGAGGCGGCTCTGCGGCGCTTCGGTGAGGCTGTGGAGGCGACGGTTCCGATGAAGTTTCGATGAAGTTTCGATGAAGTTTCGTGCTGGTGGAATGGTGATGAAAAATAGCGGATTTGATTGGATTTATGGGATTTAATGGTGTTTTCATAGGACATAGCATTTTAGAAGGATTTCATGGTGATATTTCATGGTGGTTTAAGGGGGATTTGACTTAAAATGGTCATGGTTTTAATCCAGAAAAAAAAATAAATAGTGGGATTTCATCCGATTGTGGACAGAAACATCGGGATGGTTCTTTGTTTTAGCAAAAACTGTTGGGGTCAAACCACACATGAAGCTTGCAACCGGGAAAACTGCGAGGATATACCGAGCTGGAAAGCCAGCAGCCAGTGCTTACAGTACCATGGACTGACACAAGTCTGGTATGTAAGTGTAACTGAGTTACCATCTACCACAATCGAGTGTAATGTAGTCTAATTGATGGTAGTGTACAGATAATATAGTAGTCGACATCATTATATTTTACAAAACTAATATAGGATTATGGTGTAATTGACTCTACTATATAGAAGAACCATCTTACATGCCACCGCAAAGATGAAATGATAGCCGATTTTTGAGTCTTAGACACCATTTATGCCACTTCATTAATCCTTCCAAAAATGATTAAGATCTCATCCGCCAAAAAATTGTTGTTTCATACCAGACATTTTTGGTTTCAGCCAGTTACAGCCACCATTCTTAACTCAACCAATTTATGCATGTTGGATTTTAATGGTTTACAGCTGCCCTTTTTTTCGAAACCCAGTTGACCCAGCACGCTGGTTTGTGCAACAAAAACTAGAGCCGGTGATGCCCCACAGAAAAATGAGTCGGTTCTGAATCCCCCATTCATTTTGCTACCCTCTGGTTATTTAACTGGTTGGTGGTTTGGAACATGTTTTAACTTTCCATATATATATATATCCATATATTGGGAAAAATAAATAATTCCAACTGACTAATATTTTTCAGAGGGGTTGAAATCACCAACCAGTTAACATAGCAATGGAAAATGGCCCATAGAAATAGATGGTTTACCGAACTTAAAAATGGGGATTTTCTATAGCCACGTTAAATAACCAGAGGGTATATCATAACTATAGCTATATGGAGGTTTCCGAAAATGCAATAGCCCAATAGCTTGATGCTTTGTAATGGAAAATCCGTTCTTAAAATGGATGATGAAATGGGGTACCCCTATTTCAGGAAAAAAATAGAATATAGACTAGTTATTAAATAATTGGTCCACTGTTAGATGTTTCTATAGTATTTTTCCAGTTTATCACTGGGATCTAAAAATCATACCATTCTTCATCGGTTCTTTTGGAGTTCCTTAGATCCGTTGCATCATCAAACTGGAGAAACAATAGAAGTTTCCGTAATTGTAGGGATTATATATGGGGATGACTATACTATCACTATCTAAATGTATTCTACATATACTTATCATCATTATCCCATTTTTTCCACATCAGAATTCTATGACAATATGATATATCGGGATTATGTACGGGATAAAGAGGGATATACTGGTGTGTTTCTATTATGGAATGTGCCTCCGAGTGGGGGATCGTATCCCATGTCTCTAGGGTAAGCATTACGGAGACGTAACAAGGAAAAGCGAGAAACCAACCATCTGGGTAGATGTTGCGACCTCACTGCGAGCTCTGGAATCATGGTTTTTATAGAGAAATCATCCCCACATGGCCTAACAATTACCCATAACATCCCATAACCGTGCACCAGCTTAGGGATGTCAACCCAACAGTGCCTTTGTGATGTGCAGGGACAAGTCATGATCCACATCACTTCGCTAACATGGCCCAGTCGAAATCGTTGATTTACCCAGATAAAAAATGGTGGATCTTTCCAGATAAAGCACCATTTTCCCATTGTTTTTCCATGGTTTTCCCATGGTTTTCCCATGTTTTATACCAGGGGGTACTACACTAACCCTATAGAAATATGTGTTCCCAGGATGTTCGGCTCATCAATGTTGAAAAATGTGCCTCTTCGGCGCAAAAAAGATGCGATCCCATAAAACGGTTCTTGCCGGGGTTTGGCGATGAAAAATCACCCTAAACATGTGGGTTGGCAATTAGCCATTCTTATGGGTTAATTATATCGATATCAGTACTGGATACCTATTAGAACTTATTTGCAAGTACCCATAGTTGATAATTGCCAACCATTACCCATAGTTAATAAATACCCATAGCTAGGTGGTTATACCATCACGAATCATTTGACAATTATCGATGGGCATGGTTGGCAATTATCAACTATGGGTAATGGTTAGATTCATGGTTTAACATACTATTAGTAATACATGTATGGTTAGCAATGGTTTAACCATACTATGGGTAGGGCATCATTACAAACCATTTGTTAATTTCACCATACCCTCTGGTAAACTAACATAACTATTGAAAATCACAAATTTTAATGGGAAAATCCACTATAAATGACACTGTTCAATAGCTATGTTTGTTTACCAGAGGGTAACTGGGTTTATGTATGCTGCCTTCTCTGCGTCAGGTTGGGTCGCCTTCGTTGGAGGCGCTACTGTGAAACTTGCTACAGTGGGATTTATATGGGGATATGGCGGGTAAACTGGGGGGGTTAATAGGAGTTCATGAATTTAAATGGAATTTAATTTGTTGTTGTTGGATTACATTGGTTTATAGTGGGTTTATAGAGGGAAAATCATCTAGCAACGGAGATGTGATAGTGATTTAAAAGTATTTGTATGTTTTTTTTGTGGGTACAAATATAGATTACATACGGTAGTATCAGTATAATATAATTTTCATTAGTTCGGATATGGGGCCCCATTAATAACGGTTCAATAATGTTATACCAGGTTTAAATATATATATATATATATACATTGCCATTTATAGCCCCAATTTCACCGCCAAGTAACCCCCAGCTTTGTCAAATCTTAACAATTTGTTGTCGAAGGGGGTCACCCACAAGACCACTGAAGTTTGGCCACAGAGAAGCAGCTTACGAGCAGATTGTTGCTGTTGCTGAGGCTACAAATCTGCCACGAGGTAATCTGCAATACTTCTCTGCCTCTGAGACAAAAGACAAAGCGATGCATTTTGCCTCCCACAAGCCATTGAGTGGGCTGATGTATGACGAAGGACCAAAAGGCGGTTTGCCAGACTTGTTAGCAATTTCATTGGCCCAAATGTCATTTCGCCAAAACTCAACGAGCTACACCGATGACCAATTCATGGAGCCACTGGCTGCCATCGTGCTTGGCGATCATGATCAGGTGAAACACATCGAATACTCCAGAGACGAGAATGACAACCTTACTGAGGATGTATTCCATTGCAGTCTCATGGACACCAGTGCTCAGTGGACAAGATGTGGTCACGCACCACACAATTTACGTAATGCTAATACATACTAATGCCATATTTTATAACCATATACGAATATGTTCATACCAGATGTTATAGCCATATACTAATTCAATAGAATAACAGCTTTCGGACATCATTGTTGTAAATATCAATATGATACTGTACTAATCCAACATATGGTTTTTTCAAAATCAGGACACCAAATGAAACTGAAACTTTTAAAATGAACAAAACAAATACCAATTCTATTAGTATATAGTTGCATTAGCATGTTCTGAAAATCCAATACCCTCTGGTAATGTGTGACATAGCTATGGAAAATGGCCATTTAGTTCGTTGATTTACCGATCAAGAATAGTGGATCTTTCCATAGTTATGTAAACGTTTACCAGAGAGTAATGCAACTATATACTAATACACCATGTTTAACGGAAAAATCAACTATACATGGCCATGTTCAATAGCAAACTGTTTATTAGTTTACCAGAGGGTAGCATGTTCTGAAAATCCAATAACGGGAACAAAAAAATGGATCCCATGGCCGGCAGGCGCGGATTGCACTGGTAAGACATCTGCTCTCGAAGGCGGTGCTTGCCGAATGCTTCGAGGGCTAAGAGTTGGAATGAGGGAAAGTAGCCAAAGGAAATTCAGTCATTTCTGTGAAAACTAGAAATACAATATCTAGTATAGTAATATATTGTAATTCTAGTAATATATATATATGTTGTAATATATCTAGTAATATATCTAGTAATATTAAAAAATATATATATATACAATAGTAGAATATATTGTAATTTATATACACATATTGTGTATAGTAATTTATTGTACATTTTTTCATATTATATATGTATATCACTCGCTGTACTACTGGTGATATGGTGAAATTATGATATAGTAATATATAGATATATATTTACATTCATGGTCATATGCTGGCAATACTGATATAATGATAGTATGGTAATACTAGTGAAATATTGATGATATAATGATAATAGTGATATAATAATGGTAAAACGGCGATAACCATTATTATATCACTATGATCATTTTTAAACACATGACTATCACCATGGTCTTGTTGTACTAAAAACGGTAGCACTGCTTTCATAATATGAAATAATATGATAATAGTGATGTATAAAACGATTGGGAAAATTATATTAAAACGCTATTCCCTATAGCGATTCATATACGTTTACCAAACATGGGAATATGCCATTACCAGGTGATGTGGGCTATCATGCCCTGCTATAAGCCGGTCGAACATGTGGGAATTTGCGTGGGGAAACAGTGATTATTACCGAAGATCAAAGGGAATCAATGTGGTAAGACCCACAGTGTCTTGACCTTTTGGGGCTGATTTTTGTTTCAACTGGGTAAACCTTGGGATGGTTGGATGATTATGTGAGTGACAAACCTCAAAGAGATCAAATGAACAAACTGAGGCCTAGTTCTAAGTTGGTTTACCTATGAATACTATCTGTGCATTCTTAAGCCCAACCGTTCACATGATGGTTATGAGTCACACGTTGTTCGTTGCCGCGAAACGAGGCCAAGCAGGATGGACATCGAGCTGAGTTGTCCGACCAGGACTTGCAGGTAGACATCGACCTGGATGTGGTTTGTAGGTCGGTAAGACGAGCCAAGTTGGCTTTGAAATATACATATATCATATATATATATATACATAAATTCTATGTACATAAATCATTGCAATATACCGTGTATATATATATACATATTACATTATAGTTAATAGGGGTTGCTAGCTGTGGAGTTTGGGGCCAGTGCCCAGTGCTGAGAGAGTGAAGACGTGATAAGATGGGGATCTACTTGGTATATTTATAGCAGTGTATAGCTATTTAATGCTATTTATATGATATAGCTAGTTAGTGCTGGTTATGTATTATATAGTTATATAGTTTGTCTGTATTTAATATCATATCACATATATATATATATATCCGTATATATCCGTATGTATATACACTTATATAGGAACATTAGAAACACGCGACCTTGGGCACACCTTGATCACTTGATATATATTTTTTCGGGGTTGCTGTCACTGAAACGATCAGGGAAAATCATCCAGAACGGTGGATTTTCCAGCAAGTCATGTTTGATTTACCGGGGTAAAACTAATATCAAGGAGATGTAGCTATCAAAAGTTGTGATCTGTGGTTAAGCTAGTACTGGTGAATTTAGATGTAACTGGAAGATATTTCAGCTACAGAAATGGAGGGTTTAGCCAACGAAAACGATGAATGTCACCAATGAATGATCGGAACTTTGGTAGGAATAAACTTTCGTTCAGAAGTTTTGGAGCGGTTGTTTCTTCACAGGGCCATAGAGAGGTTTTGTTTTATACATTGATATTGTTATTCTAGTTGCGTTTTATTCGTGATGTTTGCCACTATCATTGGCTGCTTCATTTTTAGGATTACAGCATTATTCCTGGGAGTTGTTTTATCATTAATGGTTCATACGCCTGGGTCAAATACACCGATCTCACTGCGACGGTACTGAAATGTGTGGTTGGATTGGGCACCTCTCCGCCCTGGCCCCACAATACAGGTTGGTAGCTTGGTTATTGGATATTTTTCTGATATCAGATATCCCAATGACTGTCAATCAGAATATTCCAAATAATTTCCAAAAAATGGCGGACTCCATTATATACCCTCCGGTAAACGTTTACATAACTATGGAAAATCACCATGCTATTTATGGGTAGGTCAACTATTTCGACTGGACCATTTTCAACAGCAAACTGTCACAAATGACCAGAGGGTAAATCCGATTATCATCCCATGATTCACTATTGTTAACCATTAAATCACCATAAAAATAGTGGTTAAATATTCCAAGTAATCTCCAAAATGCCGGACTCCATTATATATAGAATATATATAGAATATATATATATAGGTCGACATCTGTTGACTCGAAGTTTCCCAAGGCCACCGGCCCAGTGCCAGGTGGTGGGAGATAAGATGAACGGCTTCTCGCTGGCGGATGTGGTGGGGAGTCTCAGCCGAACGCCGGGAAACCGTGGGAGCCGTTCGTGTCCAGATCGATGTTGGCTTACGGCAAGGAATCAGTTAAACCGTGATTTGCATGGTGATTTTATGGTGATGAATGGGTATTGTAATGGGTTAAGAATGGTTAAGAATGGTTAATAATGGTTAATTATGATAAATCACTAACTGGTTGGTGGTTTGGAACATGTTTTATCTTTCCATATATTGGGAATGTCATCCTCCCAACTGACGATTTCCATCATTTTGCAGAGGGGTAGGTCAACCACCAACCAGTAGTGTTAATGGTGATTCATGATTAATGGTGGTGAATTTAATGGTTATTAATGATTAATGATGATGAATGGCTATGGTTAATGGATTATTAATAGTGATTAATAGCGACCAGCAAATGAGTTTTATCTTTCCATATATTTATTGAAAATAATCATCCCAACTGACTCATGTTTTTCAGAGGTGTAGGTCAACTACCAACCAGGTAGGTATACATATATATATATATATTTGATATTCACCATCCATTAACCATATCATTAACCAACATTAACCATTGTCTATACATGACTATACTTAATATTTAACCATCTTCGAGCCATACACCACATTTTTTTATGTTGATCGGTTGTTGAAACAACCTACTTGGTTTATGGGAATTTATGCGAACTCATAATTTTCACAGGATGCTATTCTTAACCAACCAGAATAATGGGGTTGGTGGTGAAGTAGTCCTGATACGTTGAGTTGTGCTCAAGTTATACCACTTTTGATTTGTTAGTTCATTTGCCTTTGGATTTTAGTAGGAAACTCATCTATAGATGGTGATTTAACCATCACACAGATTGGGTTTCCCATCGCGCCAGTGAATTGGCTAATCTATCCAGATGGTGTGGATGGAAGAAATACCACGGGATGATTGAAAGCCGAAAAACATCATTCTGTAGAGGATTTTTGTTGGAGATTTCTGGAGATGATGGCATCAAAGTGGTTTTTAGGAACGGGGCCACCCGACTGTGAAACAGTGGAGAACTTCAAGTTGAATGCTGTGCTGGTAGCCCTTCTGGTGATGAAGGACCAGTCCAACTTCCATCTGAGGAATGCTACCAAGAAGCGGCACTGCGGAGATTGATAATCCTTTGGATAATTCAACAGTTTGCTATTGAACATGGCCCAGTCGAAATAGTGGATTTACCCATTGATAGCATGGTGGATCTTTCCAGTTCGCTATGTAACAAATTACCAGAGGGGGTGCAGGATTTCGCAGCCATCCACAGCATGTCCCTCGTTTTTTTTTTACTTTGGCTTTGCCCAGATGGTGAATACATTCCGATAGTTTAAGAGTTTCCCAACCACTAGCTACAAGCTGGTCTGCAAACATATTTAAAGGGATAGTCGCAACATGTTTCAATGATTTAAACCTGCGTATAGCATTGTACCAGATGTACCTTGACAAAATGACCTTGACAAAACGGACGGCGCCACTGGCCATGTATTTCTGGGATGTAAATTGGAGGTACCTACCCCTTTTTTTGAGGCCTATATAAGGCCTATGTAAGGGAATATCCCAGCAAAATATGGCCTTATAGGGTATAGTACCTCCATTTTAGGATCCTGAATTCCCCCACAAAATGTATAGCCTTTTACTTGTATCGTACAGTAGCTTCATTTTAGCTACCTGACCTTGATATAGTGCATCAGTGGTACAGATCTGCAAGCCTATCAGCTTTCATAGCTTGCTTTGCAAAACATTACATCACATTTGTGGACACCTTGCATGGATAGTTTTTTACTTATGCTGTTATCAATTGAGGTGATAAGCAATTTCAGATGCAGGGTAATTATCTAAAGTTTGCCTTGCCACATCATATCATGTCATTACACAACCTTTGAATGTCCATCAATGTTTTGTAAAGCCTACATGAAGCACTTGAAGCAAGGTGATGCCCCAGTTCGTTGGCTAACTTGCTTGATAATTAACTAGGTTAACTAAATTGTATTGTACTTAGCTGGTATAGCTTAGTTATCAACCTCGGATGTCCATTTATGTTTGAGTAGTTCCTGGCATCACCTAGAAAACAAGGGTTTCACGTAGAATTTAGGAAACATCACCTACATCATCTGGAAATTTTCATGAAATTCATGGTTTCACTCAAAACTTTTCGGCATCTTTTGGGGGGTTACCTGGACAATTTACAGACAGTGCTGGGAGCTTTGCCGCGCTGGGTCCGTGTGAACTTTACCCGCCAAGGACCGAATGGTGCGCAAGGCTTTTCTGCAGGTGCCCGAAGCGGCGTTGTCCTGGAATCTGGCGCCACTGGCGACATTTTCCCAATTTTAGGCTTCTGATCGTGTGACACATGGGGGCTGGGAAATCCCCGAACTCAATGGGTAATTATATAATTATGATATATTATGACAATGATGATGATGATGATCATCGGACACCCCGAACTCAAAGTAGTTTGAGGTGTCGCTGGGTTCAACTCCTTGAACTGGTGGATTTCGCAGCCACGTTTCACTACCCATCTTGCGGTATGATCATGTCATAAATTAAACACTGGTAAACTAACGTAACTATATGGAAAAAAACAGCTTTAACGAACTACAAGGTGATGCCCCAGTTCGTTAGCTAACTTGCTTGATTAACTAGCTGGTTGGTGGTTTCGAACATGGCTTTTATTTTCCCTAATATATGGGACTAATCATCCCAACTGACTAATATTTTTCAAGATGGTTGAAACCACCAACAAAAACCCATAATCTGATCAATGGTATCCCGCGAAAACGAGCCAATCACAGGTAAATATGGGAAACCCTATTAATTCACTACACATGTATACATATATTATATGTATGTGTATATATATATATATATCTATATCTATATGTATGTATATATATATATTCTTCATAAACCGTAGTTAACCCACTTTTCCAAGCCAAGTTACCTATCTTGTTATCCCATTCCTTACTCAGCCGCCCTTCCGTGGCCGTGGCCGTTTGGGTCAGTGTCGATTTGTTCATCATCTCCTTGGGAGGTGCCTGGGAGGCTTGAGGGACCCGCAATGGTGCCAAACATAGCTGAGAAATCCTCAGAAATTGGTATCTAAATGGGAAAATGCATGGCCAATCCCTCGTAAAATGCGCTAGAAATTGGCATCTAAATGAGAAACTCCCTTGGGGTATTGAAATGGAAGAAAGCATTTATATATTGGTATCTGGAGGGGATAACTATCAAACTAAAATTCGGCATTTCCCAGCTGTGTTTGATTGCAGGAGGGTTTTTTCGTTTACCTTCCGGGCATACTGTATCCATTTTAGATGCGTGGCCCGACCTCTTGGAACTACCCTCTGGTAAACGTTTAGGTAGCTATTGAACATCACCATGCTATTACTGGGTAAATCAACTATTTCGACTGGGCCATTTTCAATAGCTATGTTAAATTACCAGAGGGTACAATGTGGGGCCCCCTAGATAGCTAAGTTGGTTTATAACTCCTATAACTACGGTTTATGATACCTATAATTATAGTTAATGGGGTTTATAAACCAACTTATAACTGGGGGGCCCCGCATTGTACCAATACTCTCTCACCTGGTGTTGTTCTCACGTCTTTTGGTTGACACTTCGCTGTTGGCTAGCAGCCATAACTATCACGCATATTGTCATGAGGACATGCTCCTTTGTCAGTTTGGTAGGTGAAACATAAAGTTGTTTTTTGATATAAAATCATTTATAGGTCAAATCCCCATATTTGATCCAGGTATAGATTGCTGTTTTCCCATGTTTTCACCAAGCTACAACTGCTGGGCCCCAAGTGAATCACCGCAGGTCTTTCGAAGAGCCGCGGGATTGCCCGCACACAGAGTTCCTTGGTTCCATAGATGGAAGCACCCCCTTGTGGGACCAGCATGTTTTCTTTCTTCAGTGGTTTTAATGAGATATTACCCTTTGGTAAACTAACAGTTTGCTATTAAAAATGGTCATTTATAGTGGATTTACCCATTAAAAATAGTGATGTTCCATAGCTATGTGATTTTACCAGAGGGTATCATATATATGTATAGGTTTGTATTATACATGGCCAGAACATCTAACAATAGGAATGTTATATCGGCGCCCAAAGCAGATCAACCACTATGCCCCGGCAAAAAACACTAGCTGCAGAGGACCAACACGCTGGAAACACCCAAATGAAGCCGTTTCAGCCGGTGATTTCGGGTGGTTTCTTGGGGAACCTGCCGTGGTTTGGCCTAGGTTTTCAGCCACGTTTACGTAGCTCGGTCTGCACAGGTGGTACCTGGGGTATGTCATAATAGATGGATCCCTGGGTTGTAGATACCCCCTGGTAAACGTTTACATAACTATGGAAAATCACATTTTTTAATAGGTAAATCAACTATTTCTATGGCTATTTTTCAATAGCAAACTGTTAGTTTACCAGAGGGTAACTGGCTGTTATCATATTTCAAGCTACAAATATGTAGATCAACAAATCTTTTTGGGGATATTGCCAAAAATCAGGGTGATGCTTGTCTAATCAGTGAACGATGGGAAAATGGACAGTTGTTGTTTCGCCTTTCGGGATGACGGGAGGAGCCCATCCAGCCAGGAATTTAAAAAGGTAGATACCCTCTGGTTATGTCAAAATAGCTATTGAAAATGATCATAGAAATAGTTGATGTACCCATTGAAAATGGTGGATCTTTCCAGTTCGTTATGTAAACGTTTACCAGAGGGTACTAGCTAGTTATAGAAGTATCGCAGTTGTATATGGACATTTCAGTGGAGAAAATGATTATATAACCAGCATGTGTGGAGATCTTGTTGGGAGTTGCCGAATAGATCATGTAAAACCATGGAAGTATCCAGTTGCACATGATTAATAATGGTCAATCATTGCTAATACTCTTTTACAATGATTCCACTAGCTGTTCAATAATGGAACTAGTTGACAAATGTTTTCTATTACAACCCAATGGCATGAATTGGCACCCTTAATGTTTTCAGGCTGGTCCTTCAATCATTGAGTTTCATATTTTCTCCACATTTATCCGTTTATCATTTTCCATGGGATTTTCCCTCCTGAACAACCCATCCATTTCGGGCATGGAAACCCACAGCCATCCTCTTTTCTCGGAGTGAGGTGTTGCAGTGCCACGCTCGAGGAGCTGGTGATCCGTGGTGATCCATGGTGATGGGCTGAAATTCCAAGGGAAATGTTCATCAAATACTGGAATGGGTAGCTATCCAGATAAATATCTATAAATGGGTAAATCAACTATAAAATCACTTGTAAATGACCCGTTGGTGCTTTCGAACATGGCTTTTATTTTTCCATATATTGGGAATGTCATCATCCCAGCTGACGAACTCCTATTTTTAAGAGGGGTAGGTATACCACCAACCAGATACTTTTTGCCCTTGGAATATAGTGATAGGGGTGATTTTTTTGCATCAAGATATTTCAAATATATACGTTATATCCAGAATTTATGAAATTTCAAATAGTTATAGGGGTGATATAAATAAATGCTGCAGTAGTGTATCACCCGATGTACTTTATGTCGCATTTCTGCGTTAATACTTGTAGTATCTTGTAGTTTTTCCCGGCAGACCAGTCGATCAGAGTCGATTCTCGGCAAACCTTGTAACAGTTAGCTAGTGAAAATTGCCATTTATAGTTGATTTACCTATTAAACATGATTATTTTCCACAGTTATGTTAAATTACCAGAGGGTAAAGTCCATGGTATATCCTCCTTCTTTTGACCGCCAACAGTCACAAGACAGGGCCATTAACCATTGTAATTTTCATTGGACAATTCAGGACTGTTGGTCAATGTCGCTCGCCAGGTGTCAACCATGCACTGTTTCCGCTTGAAACAATCTTTCATTGATTGTTTTTGCGGAAATTTGGTGTACCAATATATATATATTTGCGGAAATTTGGTGTACCAAAATATATAACCATTTTAGTAGGAACCAAGATTTGGGGATGTAGCCTTTGAGTTGAATCATCCTGGACATGGAATTTTCCAAAACCACTCATGGATGGAGGCAACGAAATGGATTTGGGTACTCCAAGATCCATTCGGAAACCTCGCTTTGGAACATATCAAGGGAGAATAAATTGAACCAATGTCAGAGGGATGGTGTGTACGGGAACCGTTCATCAAACCGTCCAACGACGGTGCTCCATCCTATCGGGGATGCAGCCACCTTCCTCCCAGATCCTTTAAGGCCTTTACCATTGATGTGGAAGACCTAGAAAGAGATCAAGGGTTCGGAAAAACGCAAAAACCGTGACTTGGATATGCATGGGATCTACGAGATCCTGAATCACCATCTCTCCGAGTAACATTGCGCATGTGGAACCCCAAACACCGGTGTTGATTCTGAAACTCTATTGGCTCTCCATATGTCAACTCCGGATTCATTTTTACCATGGTTTATTGTGGGGGTCCAAATAGTCACAGCTGATACTTCAATGGTACCCCCCAATTCCCAACCTCCATAGCTCCATTAATGGGAGATCTTCAGGATCCTATGGTTGGCTACGTAAACGTAGCATATTTCAGGCCATATTTTGGGGCGATATTCCCTTAGGCCTAAAAAACAGGCCCAACATAGATTGTAGGTACCTCCATTCAGTCGGTTCATGTCATGGCCATTGAGCAATTGATCATAGCTATCGAGGCCACACTGTATCCCAATTTCTGAAACCACAAGTTTTTTGCATATACTCTATAATCCAATAATATATGTATAATTTAATATAATATAATATGTATAAATATGTTAATATAATTTAAAATAGTCTAATACAATATGATATAATATAATATATGGAGATTATGGAGATAGATTTACACATAGGTTCCATTAAATCCCATAAAAGTCGATGGTTACAGAACCACCATTTCTTGGTCGCAGGAGGGGCCGCCGAAGGAGGCCGAGGCTCGTGACCCTGGTCCGGCCATGAGCGATTCGGCGCCGGTGCCGGAGGCGCGTGGCCCCAAAATGGTTGGTTTATAATGGCATATCCTAGCTATAAAGGGAAAGATGGTTGCTTTATTTGGTTTGTAATGGTTGGTTTGATAATGAAATGGGATACCCCAAGTGGTATTTTTTTTTGGGAATATCATTGGAACCTAGTGGAATATATAATAAGCAACAATAACTAGATAGGAATGTCCCAATCTAAAATGGATAATGACATGGGTATACTCCTATTTTAGATAAAACCACAATACAAGTTGATTCACAAAGCCCACT